TCCTTTGATGACATTAAGAAAATAAAAAATAAAAAAGTTTTAAAGAGTTTATGTTGCCATGACTGGACAACTCTTTTTTTTTTCCACAAGGCAATTGACACTCAACAAATTGTAGTATCTATTCCGTGGCCTTGACCAGCTAAGACAAGCTTTTTGCACGATTCCGCGTAAGGTGGGGCTGGGTAAATTTTGACCAGTGGCGCGAGTGTTCGCGCTCAGGTTCTCCACGTTAACCGACTATCTTTGTGACACATCCTGACACAGTGGGTAGTCTTTAAAGCAAAAACTCCGACATTAAATTCGAATGAAAAAAAAAAAAAATGTAAAGTGAAAAAGTGTGTAATTATTTTTCTTATGAGTGAAAATCTACAATTTAGCAAAGCTATAGGATTTATTCGTAATATCTGGGATTTATACTGCAGCATGGGTAACATTTCACTTCAGATATTTCGAATAATCCTAAAAATATATTATAGCTTTGCTAAATTATAGATTTCATTTACAAAATACATAAATAGAAAAATATAAACAAAATTTTTTTTTTTTTTTTAATGAAACAAGATTTTAATTTAGTTTTAATTTTTTTCCCCTTTCATTCAACAAAAATCGCAATAAAATAGTAGGCCACGTGTGTGAAGAAACTAAAAAACAAAGAAAGAAAACTGTTAGAACCTCGGGATGACAATAACAATGTCTATTGTTGAATGATGTTATTTTTGAAAATGGTCGATAAGCCCAAAAATAAATAAATACCTATGTTTCTGTTATAAACAAAGGAAAAAAAAACCTTTTTCTTGTTTAATTAAAATTTATCAGTGTTGTAAAAGAAAAAATTGAAGTAGTTTTAACTTTTAAAGTTTTAAACCCACTGAAAGTACCGTATTAAAAACACGCATGTAACAACACTACACCAGGTTCGTCTTCTCATCGGATCTATGCTTTTAAAAAAGTCAACAAAAAATATGAGGAAATGCTAAAAAAATAAACAAAAAACATGTCATTTCAAGTAAAAAGCAGACTAATAATTTGTTTAAATTCTATTTGTTGCGCGGTAAAGTTTTTAAAATAAACTTTACTATGTAATTGTGTGTAAATTGAACTTTATATTTTTAACTTAACATTAAAGTTTTAATCGCTAGAAACTAGTAAGTTTTTTTACTTTTAGAGTTATTTAATACTAGCAGCATTGATTTTCCTTTACTTTTTTTCTTTCTTCGTTTCAAAATAAAATATTCCTCTCGTGTTGCTTATGTTACGTTGCTTACTTTCTTGAATAAATCACCAAAAATAAATTAATTGGAAAAAAACAAAAAAAAAAAAAAAAAAACAACGTAATTTCATCGTATTCGTTACGAAAGTCTGCTTCTTACGATGTTTTGTTTACTTTAAAATACAAGAGGCGGGGAGATTATGCTGCGCCAATCTTGCAAGTTGGTGAGAGCTTGCCAGCCTTGAAAATTAATATAGCAGTTTTTACAAGAGCTCAAACACTGACCCACCAGTTCAGTTATTTTGTCCCTTTTAGTTACTTTATCTTGAAACAGATTATGTGTGTGTGTGTGTGAATACTTCACTTAAAAAAACAAGTAACTTACTTTTAATTTATGAACGAATGAAATGAAGACTTTAGGTTAAATATTAATCTAAATGAATTATCTAAAATTTCTAAATCTAGTAAGGTCAGGTAGACTTTTGGTTTTTTGCAACAGTCCTTCAACGGTATTTTGGGCTTGTTTGTTTATTATTAAAAAAGAAGAAAAAAAAACACATCTATCATCAAACTGGTAACCTGTTTCTTTATTGAAAAGTTGGGTGGAACTTTTACTAAAACGTAACATTAGTTTTGCAAATAAATAAATATATTTTTGTAAGTTGTTCAACATAAATAAATTAATGTTAGCGGATGCATTTCTATTAAAGTAAAACAACCACGTGTATCGATCCAAACAACGCAGTATTTCACGCGTTACAGTTCAGTTTTTTTACTTTAGTTTTTTAAATGATTTATTTTCAGCGCAATAGTTTTACTTTAAAAACGTTATTAAAAGTTACTATATAAAGTTTTTTTGTTCAGTCCTGACAGCTATTGAACTTTCTCTTCGTTGTATTAAACACGAACATTCTGTACCCGGCATCTGTTACCTTAACCTTATTTTTTTAATGCAAAAAAACAAAAAAGAACGTAAATGCGTGTCTCTTTTTGCCGGGTCTTAACTCCGCACACACAAACACACAGATGTACGAACACACACCCCTCTAAATTGACCAATTGTCGAGCAGCGTTCTTAGCACACCTACATTTCGACCAATCAGAGCGATGGGCAGGATGACATTTTATTTTTGGACCGGTTCCTACCGCAAAAGCCCGCTTTTATGTACCCATGTTTATCGGACTTGTAGGGTAGAAAAAGAACGCGCTTTATTTTACTGAAAACGAATTCATTTTTCTGTAAAATTGGCAAAGCTTTATTGCTCAGCTGCTCATTAAAACTACTTTTTAATTCAATAAAACTATCCAACTAACACAGTAACAAGAGGGAATTGAGGTCTAAACAAGTGACAACTTCGAAAGCGTTACTCGATTACTAGCACCATTCCTCTTGCTGCAGCCTCCTACCCCGAGCTGGCAGAAATAAACGATTTTGATTGGTCGCTCCTGACCCCAGGGTTGCATCATTGGGTCATATGAATATATTAACTTACTTTTTCGCGCACCTAAATCAGCTGGATTGGACTTGACGATTTCCATCAGTGTTTACTAGGATCTCGTCCTGATAACAGTGATTTTTCCCAAATATATATATATTTATTTTTTTTATCTATCTATCTATCTATATATATATGTTTATTTAATGGGACTATCATTTAAAGGCCCCGAACAAAGACGTACAGCATCTTTTTCATCTGAAATGATTGATGTAAGTATGTAATTTTTATTTCCCGTTTTTTTTTTTAGAGATCTTTATTTATTTATTTATTTTTTTTGGTTTTAGTGGTGACTACCTTAAGTAAAAGTGTTACTTATTCTTGTTTTAGTAAAAAGTGACATGTTTTTGTTTTTCTGATGTTACTATTATTATTATTTTTTTTTTTTTGCATTATCTTTTTGCCCTTAATTTATCCTTGTTTTTATCAAATTAGTAAGTTTCTCTAACATTTTACACCTTTTTCGATGAATGAAAGAAAGAAAATTATATCTTTTCCTTGTCTTTCTTTTCATCGTTAGGTTCGGTCTTAAAAATATTTAAAGTTATTGTTAACTTTTTCTTTTACTTGTTAAAATAATTTTGATTAGTGAAAACAAGTTGGGTTTTGTCTTTTTTTTTCTCTCATTAGAAAATCAGCTTTTCACGGACTGTTTGACACGTTTTTGACGGCATTGTCTTTTTTATTGCCGGCTTTCTTTTAGTGCGTTGTTTTAATAATTGTGTAAAAAAATAGAAAAAAAAAGTTAAATAAATTTGATCCATACGGTTTTTATTAACTTATTTAACCCCAGAAACAACATTTCATTGTTTATTTGCTCATCCTCGTACGTAAAACCTTATTATTTTCCCTCTAAAATCTAACCGGCTATATCGGGTTTTCAGGGTTTTTAAAATCAGAAAATGAAGCATGGGTTAAAAAAATAAATAAATAAAAAGCTTTCAAAAGAAGTTTTTATTTCAACAAATTAAAAAGTTGTTTTTTTTTTTCTAATTTTGTAAACCTAAATTCTATTTTTCTTAATAAATAAAAAAAGACTTAATAAGGTGAAAAAAGAAAAAAAGAATTTGTTTCCAACGGAACGGTAATAATCCCAAGTTTCTAAGAAAATTGAAATATGATTACTTACCGGCTTCTTAATATTTACACCCCAGCACGTTCCGAAGGTGTAAATTTTATTTTACTGAAAGAAAAATATGATCCGTAATAATATTTATTACAAGTTTCTTTTACATGTGATTATTAATACATTCAACAATGAGCTGAGTAGAACTTAAAATGCAATTTATTCTTTGTTACGTAGAGACGTACTCTTTAATTGCAACGTTTGCTAAAGTTTCCATGAACCGGCATCTTCCACCTAGCAACAACAACAACAACAACAACTACTACACATAGCACTGTAAGTCGACATTAATAATTCTTTGTGTTACTGTTATTCTATATACATTTCTTTTGATTTTTTGCAGCTTTATATATATATTTTTTAATTATGAACTTAAATTCGATCCTGCAGGAAGCTTTTTGTTTCCTTCCTAATCAGATATGGAAAAAAAAAATTATAGATTCTTTCAGTACACGTTTTTTTTTAATTTTTTTTATTTCAGTTTTAATTTCAGTTATCTTCGACTGAAATGTTTTTTTTTATACTTTTAAAAATTATCAGGATTTATTTATTTTCATGGTTGCAATCGTTCACGTTCAAGTTGGAGGAGGGTGCTATTTAAATTTTGTCACAGCAGTTTTAAAAAGCAGGCCCAATTTGTCCTGAACGTAATCATTCAATGGAAAATTTTGCTCAAAGACAACCGATTTCGATCCTGACGAGGTGAGGGGATTGTGCAGGTTTGCCCATAAAAACAAAACAAAAAAAATAAATAAATAATCAGACATAAAGAAATTTGGGGTTCCATAGAAAAAAGGGGGACATGAACAAACAAAGAATTATGAGCTTAAAAAGATTGTGCAAGGAGAAGAAAGGAAAACATTAAGGAAGAGACCGAATAAAAAATGTTTTATTGACTATAGGAACTGCAAAAAAAAAAAAACAAACAAAAAAAAAAAAACAGCATTTCTTTGTTGGTTTTATTAAGTAGAGAAAAAATATATTGCTGTGAAATTCATTTGAAACAAATTGCGTAGAGGTAAAAAGAAAACAAAAAACATGATAGACCGGCTTTCGGAAAGAAAGAAGTACCGCTTTGTAAAAATTGAAAGGTGTTTAAACAAAGTAATGTTCTTTAGTGATAAATAAAATCTACCTTGTTAGATGAGGAAGGAAACTATGTCATTATTTAGCGAGAAGGAAGATAAATGTAAGAGAGAAGTCTGGTGTTTCGGTAATGCAATTTCATGAAAGAGAGAAAATAATAGGAAGAAAGATAGGCAGTTAGTTCACTGAGTGAGAAGTACCAAGAAAAAATGTTGCAACTTGTAAAAAGAGATAACAGAGACACTGTAACAAGAGAGAGAGGAGTAGAAAAGAAAAAAAGTATAAGAAATGTTATAAAGAAAGAGGGGATAAAAAGAGAAAAATAGAGAAACATCAATTGTGCAAAGAGAGGGGAACGCAGAGAAATAGAGAAAGAAAAGATGCAGGAAATAAAGGTGTCCTGTAGGAAGAATAGAGGAAGGTAAAATGTACTGTGTAAAGTGGAAAAGGTGATATGCACTGTTGGGAGTGAATGCTGCAGCAGAGAGAAGGTAATGTGTACTATGCACGGAAGAGAAATATATGCACTGCATTATACAGGTCTTGTGAGAGGGAGGGACAGAAAAGATCAGTGAACTATACTTCGTAGCAAGGGAGGGTGACTAATGAGTTCTTTAGAGGGTGGAACGAGAGAGAATGAGAGAGAGGCACAAGGTGGTAGAATTGAACGGAACGTAAGCATTGCGAGTTTGTGGTGGTTGGTGGTGTGGGGGGGAGGCGTAAAGAGAAGTGCAGAGAGGGTCTGAGATGTTTTATTAGGGAGGGAACGAGCGTCAAAGGTGGTTTGCACAATGAAAGGTATAGGGAGTGGAACAGAGAGGCGGAGAGGAGGACAGCAGAAATGCAAAGAAGGAGAAGGTGCATCAAGAGTGACGCACTGGAACAGCTGATTTGCTTTTTCTCTTCTTAGTTGCTATGCGTAGGAGATGGAGTCGGTAGAAATTGTACTGCTTTTCCGCCAACAACCGTTCAGAAGACAGAATGCATAGTGAAGTGAAGACTATGCCAAACCATTTGCGAAGACTTTGCAACAGTATCTAACAGTGACGAGATTTTTTTTCTTGATAATAATTTATATTTTTTTCTGGCTCGTTTTTAACGTTTACTTTAATTTTACTATTATTTAGTCGGCTTTTCTGTTTAATTAAAAAAAAGTGAGAGCTAATTGTTTGTAGTTTCAAATCATAAAGAAATTAAACTTGACTTGCTGTTAAGAGTTTTTTGGAACTCAAGTTGGTAGTGAGAATAAAAATTTTTAAAAATTAATCTGAGGTAAGAAGTTTTTAAATTCTTTCTCTTTTTATGCTTTCTTTAAATATGCTTTGTAGATAAAAGAAATTTACCAACCAAAAGTGAAATAGATTGCTTAGTAAAAAAGAAAACTTACGTCAATGTTCTAAGTATTTTTATAAAATAATAAACGGTCAGAAAGTTGTGTACCACATATGGCACATGACCCCAAAACGCAACTTTACTATTATTATATATATATATATAGTTTTTACCGTTAGTTGTGTGGATTAATAATCCACACAACTGACGGTAAAAATTGTAATGTTCCATGCATATGTACAGCGGCGAAACATGTTTCTACACAAATAAAAATAGTTACACGCACTAAAGTTACTTTAAATGCATTTGTCTTAGACACAAACGCACGGACCTAGTTATGCACGAAAAATATATATACATATGAATTAGACGCATTATTGTGTAAAATAATTATACACACCAACCAAACTATTATTACAAACACTAGTGAAATACACACAACTACGGGTTAACATTTTAAAATGTTAATTTCTTTGTCTGTTTTGTGCATACATTTATTTTAAAAACATAATATATTAAAATCATTTTTCTTTTCTTTCAATCTGCACATGCTACTTGTAAACAACATTGCTTCGCCAACTTTTCGTTCTTTTTTCATTATTTTTTTAATTGATTGTCTTACTATTAATAAAAATGACAACATTTTATTTTGTATTGGAATGGGAGGAGTTTCCATCTAGGATCGAATATATTAAGAAACTTTTTCCTCCCTCTCTCTCACTTTCTTTCCACCTTTGCCAATTCCTTTGTTTGTATTCTGTTTCCAATATAAATTTATTTACATTCTTGAACATTTGCGAATAAATAATAATATAGTTTGGCTAATTTATCAAAAAGAACCTGATTTAAATTGTTTATAATCTTTCTTCTTTTCTTTTTTTAACTAAATGTAAGTAACCTCATTTGATATTTATTTTCTTTGTTACCATTTTAATTTATTACCGTTTAAGTTAATAATTAATTTAGAATGGGTATTTCAGATTTTACAAGTACACGGGTGGTTGTAGTGAAAAAAGAATCTCTAATTTTTTTAGCTTTCCTGCAAGTTATGATTAAAATAAGTTCAACTATTTTTTAAAATTTCCTTTTTGCCCATCGAAGACATATGTATTATCTTTAACATTTTTCCTCTATACAGCTACTTAACTTTTATTATTTAGATTGATTGTTGATTAGGTGTGTGTGGGGGGGTGCTGATATTTTCTTCGTCTCTCTCTGCATATTTGACATTGATAGAAAAGAAAGAAAGAAAGAAAGAAAGAAAGAAAAATGATATCAGATAAATCATTTCTTTCATCATCAGCACACTTGACATCATTTAAAGTAAAGCTGTAATAATATACAAGGGAGAATCGTGTTGATGATGTACCGAGTGATAGAAATACAGAGGTTCTCTTCTGGTGACCCCAGGAAAGAAAAAAAAAGACAAAAAAAGATATCACCCACCTGTAAAAATAATAATAATTATCAGTGTCTAAGTGAGTACGTACGTGTTACGTGCAATTATTAATTAATGAATTAATTAATTACATAAAGCGATGACACACATACGTAAATTTTATTCAAAAGTCACCATAGTGATAAAAAGCATATATTTAAAAGTTGGTCTTCATCCCTTTATATTTTTTTTTTACCTCCCCCCTCATTTTTCTTTCATTTATGCGTTTTTTTTTGGGGGTGGGGAGTGCCAAAAATATTTTATTCACTGAAATCGCAATACCAGAGAAAATATTTATGCCAAACTAAACTTGTAAACACAAAGAAAATAATCAGTTTTTTTTTTTCTTTTTTTTTTTTCTTTTTTGCATTACTTAATTATTCACCTCGCCTCATATAACGAATGAATCTTTGAAAAACGTTTGGTGAAAAAAATTGTTATGTAAAGTTGGAAATAAAAGTCTTTTTAAGCCAGTCCTTGTGCAAAGGAATGATTGAAAGTTGAACAGATTATCTGCATCTTTATATACAAACAGGGTGCATTATGAAATGAACGTCGAACAATTATGGAAAGAAAGAACTAAAGGTGATTTGAACAGTACTAAACAACTTTTTTGTACCTAGAAATACTAATTATTACGACCACTGCCAATTGATGCTTGTTGTGGTTATCTGTTTTAGGCCATCATCTTCGTCAGTGACTTGACCTAAATTCCGACCTAAATAAATTGTATTAGTAAGTAACCCTTTATGTGTGTGTATTTAGTGAATATTATTCGCCAATTGCCAAAATACATCATTAGACAATCACTCTCTTGTCATTATCAGTTAAGATGATAATTATTTTTAATGGATCAGGCTTAAAAAAATGATTTGCTATAATAACTCGGGTCCTTGTTCAATAATGAGGACAGTGTTTATGTTGAAATTAAATAATAGCAAATAAAATTTAATAATGTGGTTGAATAATAATTGCTGTCATATAATTGCAATATTCACTCGTGATATTAACTCAATTGACCAAATTACTAATAATCGGCTTTAATTACAGTAAGTTTTTATTGTAAAAAAAAAAAAATGAATATTGAAAATAATGCAATTTTCTTTTTAAAATTTGACCTTTTAACATCATTTTTTCTTTGAAATTGAAAGCAAAATTTAATCTTTTTTCCATTTATTCAACCTGCATTAATTGATGTATTTGAATGTTCACACAAATGTTTACTAGTGTCAAGAATTAAGTGACAACAAGGCCCTTCAGATAACCAGCACCTTCCTCAGTATTCTCAAGAATCTAACACTGATATGGTCGAGACAGTCAATCCTTCCACGAATCTCTATTTCTTAAAAAAAAAAAAACCAAAAAAAAACAAAAACAATAACGTTGACTCAATTTAGTATTCAGATGCCATAAAAACAAAATGTTCTATAGCCCCCACTCTGACCATATGATGATTTATCAGGTGAAGTCAGTGCTAAATAAAATCACAAAACCATTTATATTGTTTGTGACCCCTAACAGTTATTGTTGCAGTCAATTAGTTAGTGCTGTGCTAGAGATGGTAACAAAGTGATTAAAGTATTGACCTTGGCGGGTGGGGACCTGAAAAATGACCACTTTAACCTTCAGTGTTATATTCACCTCATAGTTCAGGTGAAAACATTGATATTGTACTGTATTTTTGCTTATGGCTCATTAATGATGACTTGTGTCAGACTTCAGAAGAAAGGAAACATTAACAAGCTAACTCACATCTTCTGTAATTAGTCTTGTAGATTCTTTTTCAGTTGCTCAAAGTCTTGGATGCCATCATTAGCAAGAAAAATCATGCGGAATTCCAAGAACTGAAAGTTGATGTTTGTATCGCTTCTCTGATTAGAATTAGGTTTTGCTAAAATGAGAATCTTTATCAATTTTCATCATCTGTTCAAAATGGATTAATTTATTGGCATCTTTAAAGTAATATTTAAAACACATGAACACTTCATGAGAAGTATAAGTTTTACTATAGATTTTTCAGTTACCTGTAAACTTTGAGCAACAAGTTTAAACAAGTTTGCTGTTCTCGATTTTTGTTGGACCTCAATTTCACCATTCAAGCTAAACCCAACAAGTGGTTTTGTTATGTATTTTCAAAAAGTGATTAAAAAATATAGATTTTATAAGTATTGGTTTGCAAAACAAGTTTTATGAAAGAAAGTAAAAAAATTTTTTTTTTCTCTATCTGATTTTCATATAAAAACAGCTAGAATCTAGTGAAACAGTGAATAGCTAAAATTCAAAATCATGAAATCAATACTGCTTCTGGTGCTATAAATATGATAAATCCAAATTTTTCTAAGCAGTCTTTTAGCATAAATCGAATCATGAGCTTTTGATTCCATAGTCATTTTCTTCTATGTGTTGTGTTCCTTCAGGACATGGGTGATCATGGCTCTCCACAATTTCCTGTCCTTTGTAGATCTTAGTAAAGTTTGTCTTTTTGCTATATCCCCTAATCCCTGATCTGCCAACCAATTACACAAGCTTCTTGGGTAGTTTATATGCAACTTTCCTCTTTCGCTCATCTTCAATATGTTTTGTGAGTGTCAAATTCTTCAAGCCCTCTTTTCTCATTATGTGTCCTAGAAATATCAACTGCCTCTTTCTGATTCTAAGGAAAAGTGTTCTATACTAATTATCCCAAAATGATTTTCTGAATGTTAAACTGACTGCAGCATCCAAGGTCTTTTGTGCTTGTGGCAAGATGCTCACTCGCCTGATATCAAGTATAGAATTCCAAATCTTGCAGTCTCTAAGATTCTGTTTTACCACTGAGCCAGGTGTTAACGTTCATAGATTTGCCATTTTTGTAGAGTATCTTTACAAATTTTAAATTTCGATTACTAAAAATGTTAGTTTTTCTTTTTAAATAAATTTTTGTAATTATAAAGACAAAATAATCAAGTACAATTTTTTTAATCTGATATGTACAGTCTTAAAAATACGTTTTGGTTTGTCCTTTAAAAATGTCACTACTAACCACAGTAATTCCAACAATTATATCATTATTAAATTTTAGCTCAATCTGACACAAGGTCACATATATGGAGCTCCTAGTAAGAATTCAACTTATTAGACTAGTAATGGGACAAGCTTGTGGACCATTCCATCACAGATGTCCAAAATATTAAGTAGTTTTGGTTAACCACCAACTCAAAAGTACAAGTGTAAAGCTTGCAAATTATGAAATGTGTCTTTGCTCTGTGCTGAAGTATATTTAGTGATATCATTATTATTGTATGTATTGTAACAGCTTACTTTTAGTCTGGCACAAGACCACAATTGTAGAGGCACTCAGTGAAGCTTGGACACCCAACAAAATAATGATGCCTTTTACTACATGATTATAAAACAATCACTAGCATACCACCTACTTGCTAACAACATACTAGAGAGATAAAAACTGGCCAACTGCCCCCCTGGCCTACCGATTTATCCCCACCCCCCGAGGCACCATTTAAACATCTGGGTCAACAGTTTAACATTAATTTTTTTCCTTTTTTCTAATGTTATTTCTCTTCTATCATATGACATGCTAATTTAAAAAAAATAAATAAAAAACAAAAAGCAAACCGCTTAACTTAGAGACCTGGCAATTTTAAATGACATAATTAAAGTTAGAGATGATTTGCTAGATGTGGTATAGCAATTTATGAAGTATAAAGTTTGCATGGTTAGCGATGTTCCTTGTCACACTTTTTTGCTTCATAAAATTTGAGCCCAGAAAAATATTAACAGAAAAGTTTTTTTTTAATTTCATCGTTGTATTTTTAAATTAATCGTTAAATAGCGTCAAACAAAAAAATTTGGAAAGTTAGCCAGCACCCCCCCCCGTTTCTATAAGGTTTAAGATTAGCAAAATCTCTTTTGTCTTTTTACAAATAAATGTTGCATCTATTTTTCCTTTTTCAAAACTTTTTTCTTAAAATTTTGCAACTTACATTCATTTCAGTGTGTGTGTTTCTTGTTTTCTCTCCTCTTTCTCTCTCATTTTTATAGTCCTTCCTTTTTCTCTTGCCCTCTCTCCTAAAGTAATCTACACTTTTCGCTTTTTCTCTTCTTCCTTTATTTTATTTTTTTTTGTATGTACATTCGTATCTCTCTCTCTCTCTCTCTCTCTCAGTATGCTTTAGTTTATAGCTATGATGATGTGTGCACCTAACAGATCAAAATTTAAATATTACCATTGCACATGCATAAATTATGTCCAATGACAACATTTTCCAAATTTGTTCTACTCATTCTTTGAGTTTTTTTTTTTTTTCCTTTTTTAGTTTCCAACCACCATATCAACTCTCCTCTTCTCTTGTAATTTAAAAAACGAATGACGAAAAAATTAAATCAAATCAAGTTGCTTTCCAACTGTTTTTCTTAAGATTTCTTTCAGTTTCATGAAAAGTTTTCTTTAGTAATTTTTATTGTGGGGAAACTAACTTTGATACAAGGTTGTTTCAGTTTCGCATACCATAATGCCTTTCTTTGTCTATTCAAATCTGAAACTTTTCTTTGCAAAGTTGTAGAAAACAGTTGTTTTAATTTAAAATTGTGGTGTAGCAAATTCCTTGCTCCTATATTTAATAAGAGTAAGACATTTTGATTTTAGTTTTTAATGAATGAATAGTGTTTAAGTGTTTAGCTTCCAGCACACCTGGCAGCAAATAAAATATTTTATTCGTTTTTTTTGTTTTTTTTTTTTCAATCATGAATTTATCATGTAAACTAAACACTTGAAGATATACTTTAAATTAGTTTTAACATTTATAATCAGCAATTTTTATTTTCTAAAAAGTAATTCATTCATAATGAAAAATTTTCAGCAGATGTTTGTTGCTATAATAATTGATATTTTTTTAATCTTTTTTAATTAAAAAAAAAAAACATGAAACAATAAAACAAGTGTAAAAGTTTTTTTATTTTTTGCTTTATTGATGAACCATCAGTGCTACTAAGTTTTTTTCCTCATTTTTATATAAAGTGGCGTAACTATTTTGTTCAGTTATTGAAAAACAGAAGGAATTCTAAAAATTCTTGAATATATTATCGCTTGCAAACTCCATGGCGATAATAAAGGAAACAATGACGACGTCATTGTTTCTAATGTCAAACTTTGATAGATGTATTGTACCCTGACGTCATGTGTGCGTGTGCGTTGCTAATGCTTTGTGCTAAGAAGCGCAACCACCGGCATCGTACACACGCGCACACACAACAGAGGAGGGGGTGGACATAGAAGAGACAGAAAAATAGAATAAGGTAATTATTTAGGAAGCGAATCAGAGACGAAAATTGGGACATTTATTTTATTTTTTTAAACCGTGGAAGAAACCCGAGAAAATAGAAGGAAAGAAGAAAGGAAGAAATCAAAAGCTCAAAAAGAAAAAAAAAATGACAGGACTTTAGGAAAGAAAATGATCGATAAAAAAAGAAAAAAAAAACAGACAATATCATGAAGAAAGAAAATGCGAAGAAAATATGGACTAAAAAAAGAGAAAGAAATCGTTGAAACTGCGAATAAAAAGAGACGGGGAGAAAGAAAGATTAATTTAAAAAAAAAGTGTTTGAGAGGAGAACGAGTAAATTAATAAAGCTAATGAATGAGAAAGCGATAGAAAGAACTTGTAAGGCTTGTCATTTCTGCTCGGAGAGAAGGTGAGTGAGGGAGAAAAGTGCGTGTGTGCATCGATGGTTGAAAGGTAAAGCGCACGGCAACGAAAACCTTTCTCAGCCAGTCATCAGCATAATCTGCATAGAGTTACCCGCCCCTCGCTAACCGTGTTTCATTAGCATGTTTTGCAGTTACTCCGCTTGGTGGCGCTGGGTTTTGGGTTCAAGGGTCAATGACCCAATTCCTGTCAGCTGGCTGCTGCTACTGCTGGCTGATTTCCCGGCCAATCAAAATCACCGGTTCTGTGCCTTGCCTCTTCAGTTAGGGAAAATTAGTGTTACTTGCAAGACTTGTGTGTTGGTTTGGACCAAAAGAACGAATTCAACACTGATCTCTTCTTAGACTTTATTTTACTAAATTTTTCTTATAATTATTAAGTATACTTTAAATATATTTAGTTATAGATAATTTTCTACAGAATGACGATGGGGGTTTTGAAAGCAGTTGTCACGGATCAAAATCACAACGAACAGAAAGTAAGAATTTATTTTATGTTTACCTTTCTTTTCTGATTAAATTTTTTTTTTTTTTTTAATTAAGTTTTTTTTTTTTTCCTTTAGTTTCCGTTTGGGTAGATTAGTTTTTTGTCCTTTGGTTTATGATCGCAAACTTTTTCTGTAAATCTTTTGTAATGTTTAGTTCCATAACATTGTTAACTAACACTTACTTGTCTCATATTCTAAAAAGCAGAAAATATACCAGGTAAAAAAAAAAAAAAAAAAAAAAGTCAAATTTTCCGATTTGTAAATGAAAAGAACTAAGTTTGCCACTGACTTTCTCATCTTCTTTTCTTCTTAGAACACTTAAAGGCTGATCTTGAGGCTGTAAATTCTTTTTTTTTTTCCTATATTTACTAAATTTTATGCAAGTGTACTGTAAAACATTTAAAATGCATTAAAATTTCGCAGTTGACAATTTCACCAGGTGATATTGAATTGAGGTTTTCTATTGAAATAGATAGGTTTCGTTGTAGTGTGCATTGATTTAAAAAATACTAAAGAAAAACCTTTTAAAATGTTGATCACGAAAAATTGTAGAGAAGACACTAAATATTTGCAATCATCAGACTCGAATCCCTTGAAATTCTACATCTCACTCCATGATCACTGTTAAAACCTGACTATTTCACGTGAAAAGATGCCGGCATACTAAAAACGAAAGAAGAGAAAAAGTAAAAAAACAAAACAAAAAAAAACTCCCCTGTGTGTAATTGATTAGTAATCTTAAATGTGAATAACTGAAGGCCAGTTAAGTGGTCAATAACAACCAGCCTCTCCGATATTACACGCTGAGAGATGTCACGTAAGCTGTAAATTCGATTCCTTACCTTTTCGTTATTTTTTTTTCTTTCTCTATCCAGAGACCTGAACCAATTCTCTCTCTTCTTGTCTAAATTTACGTATGATGCAATCGTCATAAATATCAATGGCTTGTAAGCTCTAAAATATAATCTTATGTTTAAATATATTAAATTTTGTCATTTTATCAAGAGTTAGCAGGGGAAAAAAAGTCTTAGGTGCATTTATTATGTATTCGGATCCTCTACCTGGAGAAACAAAAGAACAAACGCCAATGTTAGTTAATGGTCCGGTACTATATACTATTTTTTTTTAATTACCTTTGTTGGATTTATTTGCCAAATTAGATTTTTTTTTTTTTTTTTTTTACGATTTTAATTTTATATCTAATGGTCTTTACTTTACCGGATTCGATTTACTTACAATTAATTAGTGATTTTTTTTGTTTCTTCATTCTCGGTAACCTTATTCAATTGCTTCTGATTTGATTGTTTTAAATGATTTGACGTTTGAATTCGGTTTACACAATTGTAAGTTTGCAGGTTTGTCATAGCTAAGTGGACAATCAGTTAAATGCTGTTTAACCGATTTTTACGATTCGACTAATTTGTAGAAAATGTTCTTTTTCCTGGATTGTGGTGGCGGTGGATCTGACAGTAGTCGTAATTAAGACGCAAGTGCGTACGTGCATTTTCTTCTGCCTTTTTTTTTTTTTTTATTATTTGACCTAATTACACCTGATCTATTCATCTTCGAATTTTAAACTTGAAGAAAACGCATAGCTTATAGAAACGGTTTTTTTTTTTTTTTTTGTAAGAAAAAAAAAATAAATAAAGACGTATTGACCATTGACTAAAAAAAAACATTTAGAAATTTCCAAATATTTTCTTAAAATCATTTTAATCCGGCGTAGTTAGATTTTTTTTGATTTTTTTTTTCCCCCCTTCCTTTATTAACTTTTTACAAATTTTTAATTCTCAGATTTTATTTTGTTAAACCGAAGAAAAAAAAAATTACCGGTGAGATGACCTAAAAAAAAGATCCCCCCCCAAAAAAAAACTATCGGTTTCTGGTTTCGTGGAATTCTTTATCATATCCTCAATCAAACAATGCGATTTTCATTGATTCGTTTACTAAATTATTAGTATTTGACACTCAAAAAAGTAAAAGAAAAGTATCGATATTTTTTTTTTCAATTAGCCATGAGAATAAAGTTTGATTAATTATTACTTTTGAATTATTTATTTTATACACGAACTGGCAATTGAAACACCCGGAGCTCAACCCACATATTTGAAATTAAAATTATTCATATTTACCACCGTTATTATCCTAATCTTTTGATCAATGTTTCAGGTCTTTTTATTAAAACTGGTTGGATTAGTAAAGAGAAAGAGACTTGGACAGACTCTCAGCTGATCGCCGACTCGATCCTTCCGGTCTTAAATCATTTTATATACCTTTTTAAAAAACTGTCCTATTTCTGATCATAATCTTAGTTGACATTAAAATAAACATAATTTCTATATTTTTCTCTGTAAAAAAAATATCTTTAAAAATGTTGAGAAAAATAAACTTTTTTTTCTCGACCCCCCCCCCATTTTGTCTTTCTGCTGTTTAAGTCGTGTGAGAATATTCATGTAGTAGTTGGTTAAACTATGTATATATTTACTTATTTCCAGCTAAGAAAATCAGTACTGTCCAGCTATAATTTTTGAGAGATTTTCTGAATCGTGAAAAAAAGAGAGGGGATCTCGATTATGAAGAAGGGAAATCATATTAGGTTTTTCGTCTCTTGCGCAATTTTAGGATTGGTATTTGTTGAGTTAAAAAGCTTCACTTAAAAAAAACCCAAAAAACCACTGCTTGCATCGGGAGTTTAGTTTTTTTCCCCGACTTCTTCCCTACAGGTGACATTGTATCTCGAGTAGCAAAGGTGAAAATGATATGTAGTTCTGTGTCGTCTGGGATGACGACACTGGCAATAAATAATCGGTGATGGTTGCAGCTCAGCTAGTAAACTACAAGAGAAGCTTGTGTATGTATATATATAGTTCGAGTTCATCAAGGCTCGAAGACGATGGAAAACACACACACATAATTTACACTTTTTTTCAGAATTAATAAAAAAATTGTTGAGTAAAACTGTAATACCCTTGCCTTAACTATTTTTTTTTCTTTTTTCACAATTTAGGTTGTACCAGTTGAGACAACAGATGAAGAGGTCAGTCTCATTCTTTTTATGCATATTTTCCTATATTTTAAAAAAAAAAATCTTGTCAGTTTTTATGTTTATCAGTAGGTAGAGAGACCTATCTAGTTTAGTTTCAAAAAAATGTTGATTCCTTACGAGAAAAAGCTTTATATAGATCGTTTTTTTTTTTTTTTTTTTAAAAAAAAAAAAAAAAAAAGGTCGCATAAATTTTTGTTTTGTAGGTATATTTTAAAAATAGAACATATGCTTTTTTCTTCATAGACAATTCATGTTTTCAAGACTTGATACTGAGTACGAACAGAACAAAAAAATTTCCGTATATTATTCTGCGAATAAATTAAACAATAGAAGTAGGTTTAGGTGATGTATAGAAATTCCGTAAATGAGATTTATTGATTTTGTTTTTACCGAAATAAAAAAAAAATAGTTGGATATCACCTGGCTACATTCATCTCTAACAATCATTGTTATATCTAGCTTGATTTTTCTTATAGATTCAAGTCGAAAAGTGTATTTCATTTTAACATGTCGATATATTGTCTGTTTCGTCGCGACACCACCTCGTTTACTTTGTGAAAGTACTTACTTGGAAAATCCCCAACGGAAACCTCACTAGAATTTCTACTTTCATTTTCTCTCCCCCGCCTCTACCTTTTGTCACGTACGCACTTGCCCATCTGGTGGTTAGCAGCAGCAGCAGCAGCTAAAAATAATAAAAATAGTAGCATTACTCTATATTGTATCTTTATCATTATTATTATTACAGCTGTTTATTTGCTTTCCTTTGTCCTTCTCTCTCTATTACTCTGTGTTTGTAAAAATCACCCCCTTTAAAATTACTGTAACATCAGATGAGGAAGTGTGAGGAGAGGTTGATTGGCTGCTGCTGTTTCTAGCTTGGAAACTACTGTTGTCGATGCTAAGTATAGCGGAGCATTCCCATTGGCTGATTCTTCCTGGAGACTGCTTTCATTGGTTGCTCTCCTATAGCGTGATAAGCAGGTAGCAGCAGTAAGGGAACACTTAGTCTTACCTTTCTTTCTTTCTCTCTCTCTCTCTCTTCACTTTTATATGCTTTTTTGCTACTCCTCTCTATTGTTTTTCTACTTTCCTCATTTTGTGTGCCATTTCTCACCCCTCCTTATTTGTAACTGCCGCTTTTCATACCCCTCCTTATCTTTACCTACTGTTCAGCTACCCTCATCTTCTCTCGTTCACTGCTCTTTGACAACCATCCAAAAAGACAGAAGGGCCCTGGCTGGGAAATTTCCACACGCTACCTAAAAGTTAATGTGGAATATTACCCGTTCTATTCCATTCGAAATCCAAACATTTTTTGGAATCTCAATTTGTTTTTCGTTGTTTTTTTAGAGTTTAGACATTTTATTTTAAAATGACCACATTTAGCTTAAGGCCAAAATATTTTTTTTTTACTTAACGAACCTCGTCCCTGTCTAGTGTCTACCAGAATAACTGTCCCAGTTCACCGATTACTTTGCAATAATAATAAAAGAAGAATCGGAAAATTTCCTCAAATTTCTAGATTGTAAATTAGTCTATTTATGTTTTTATAAAAAAATGTTAGTATGATTATTTCATTAGTTTTTTTGGTAGAGGGGGTGCTAATTCTGATTGTGCTGTATTTGATGGGTTCGTAAAAAGAAAAAAAAAAGCCAGTTTATTTTTTTTTCTTTCTCCGTGGTTTATGTTTAATTTAAACATAAAGTTAAAGTGTAAATTTAACTTTACATGATTTACATAAAATGAAATCATACAAAAAATAATAAATGTTTCAACATTTGATAAGTAAAATAAAAATCGAATGAATCCCTTTTTTCCTCTTCAATTCTTTGTACTAAAAATGGAATTTTTGATCAAACAAAATCAAATCTTCCAAAAGTGTCTGATTCCTAAGTTTGCACTCTGATAGTGTTTTTTTTTTTTCCAATCACCTAAATTTTTATTTACTTTAATATTGAATTTAAACTTCACTATCGGTTTCTGTTTTAAAAAAACACATTTTCTTTATTAAAATAACATTGCATTATTTACCTATCGTATCGATTAAAAAAAAAAAAAATCAAGGTCTGTCGGGTGGGTGATAAAGGCTAAGCAACAATAAACATGGATTTCGATTACTCTCTTGATCAGCTGTTGTTTAAAACCAGTAAAAACTGTCGGTCGACATTGTGCTCGGCTCATTTTACACGAATTTAATTCTACTGAAAATAAAAATCGATGACAAACTCGGTCCAGCTGACATAAGCATTTTTCTGTTTCGTAGCTACTTACTTAAAGTTTGAACTTGGAATAGAATTAGTCATGGATTTCGGTGATAAATCCATTTAATTACTGTAAAAAAAAAAAAAAAAAGTAGTAGTATTCTTAAGACTGGATGAAATAAAGATTAAAAGTGTAAAATTATTTCCCTACCCAAATGTACTTTTCAGATCTAGATTATGGAGAGGGGAACTTTTCTTTAGGACGGTTCATTTTCAGAAGGGGTGAGGTGATGTGGGGAAGCCGTTGAAATGGATTCTAAATGTAGGGGGTGCCATTTATTTATTTTATTTTTACCATGTAACGAACTGGACTGATTAACAATAAAAATAGTAATTTATTAGTTTAACTAACAACATTTTTTTTTTTTTTTCAGGGGTGGGTGGGAGGTCAGTTTACTTTTAAATTTGATGGTCATTATGACCGACAGTCACAAAAGATCCATTTTGGTATTTTTCGACGTATGTTGTAAATAGTAAATATTTTGGCTTAATCGATTTTGAGGATGCTGGAGAACGGATTGGCTAAAAGAAAAAAAAGATGAAATATTTATGCTTTTAATTACGACCCACCCTCAAAGCGATATCTAAGGTTTAAAAAAAAAAAAATGCATTTTATTTTAACAATGAAAAATCTTTCTGGAAGCTTTTTTTATTTTAGTTGTAATTCCAAGCGAATAAAATTTAAATATTTCCCCAAAGCAAAAAATAAATAGTTACTGTATATTTCTTTTTTTCTTTTTTTTTTTATGAGGTGTTGACACATATCGATAGATTGTTTTTACATGTTTAAGTAAATGCTCATAAAAGTTACTTGCCGAGTACAACATGAATGTCTTTACTTAAAAAAAAAAAAAAAAGTATATATAAAGTACCAATTGATCTTAAAAACTTAGGAAAATATTCTAATATTTATTGAATTTTTTTTCCTCCTAAATAATTAAAAAATTTAAACAATTATTTTATTATGTTCATCAATTTTTGCCTAAAACAAGTGTCCATAGTATATCTTATAATCTTATTCATAACAATAATTAAATCTTTTCTAATTTTTCTAGATTTTCTGTAACTGAGGTCCTGTTTTAATCAAATTTCTTTTTGGCCAAATTCTCCAAGGACTTGTCCTTGTAACTAATAAACATTTAAACTCTATAAAAATGAATTTCTCAATTTGATGAAATAAAATAAATGGAGGAGACAGTAACAGATTTAAAAAAAAAAAAAAAAAAAAATAGAACTAATTTTTACCAAGGTTTACTAAAAAAAAAAAATTTTTAAATAATTATTCATTTGTGGTTAATAAGTCCTGAAAGTTTCGTTAAAATCTGACAATTATTGTCACCTGTTGACAGAAGAAAAACAAAGGTTTGGAAAAGGATTTTTAATAATCTAAAAATTATATGGTATTTCATTTTAATAATAAAGATTTTGACAATAAAATTTATATTTAAATTTGTGGCTTTTTTTCTTTTCTTTTTTTTTTTTGTGGTGACTTTGTTGACTGAGAATTTCTCTATCATTTGTCAGTTTTATTAGGAAAGAATAGACATTTCAATGAAGAAAACCTTTATGTAAGATAATAAATTCTGATAGCAAATTAGTAATGTTAAGTTGAAAATGGGTACAGAACTTGAACCGGTGATTATTATCAAAACTTTGTTTTTGGCTGATGCCTTAGAAGCCAGATGATTTAAATTAGCAAACCATTTAGAATAGAAAAAACAAAATTGTTACAATAATCATTTAACAAAAAATGATTGAAATTGCGTTAATTTATAATCTTAGAATAAAAAAAAACACATTAAGATTCAGGTATCCTAAGCCTTTATTGACCTCTAGACATTAATTTATACTTCTTGGAAAACATTCTTAACCTTGCAACTCAAACTTAAGGTAAACCTTTTGCTGTTCTACAAAACATGAATTTTTTTTTTTTTTAAACTACTTATTTTATCTTATTTTAACATTGTCAATTTTGCTTCGGTCAGGTTTTAATGATTTTTTTTTTTTTTTTTTTTTTAAATTTTGTAGACAAAAGCCCTCTTTGTTGAGGCATTCATAGCTAACAACCGATTAGACTACAGCACTCAACTAATGGGTTACCATGGAAAGTACTTGGAATGTTTTCTGAAGACTCAGAACCACCTGATGCGTGCTGATGGACCATTACCCTTTACTTTCCGGCATTATATTGCCATAATGGTACGTAAAAACATTTGCCACTCTGTCTCCAACAAACACAAACCTATTTTGTAAATAGGTTTTGTTTGTGTGTTTGTTTTTGTTTTACTACCTGAATTGGAGGGGAGTATATTTTTTTTAATTTTTTTCCTACCCAAAAAGCTGCAGCCGCAGTTGATGTGTCATTTTAATCAGCAGGAAGCACTTCAGTTTTACTAAATATAAAAGCTGATCAAAAATGTCTATTCTGGGGAAAATCATTGGAGTTTTTCAAGTGACAATGCTTTCTACATTTTAGAAAGAAATTCTATTGTAGTAAAAACATTTTCTTGCTTCTCCCTTAACTCTTTATAGACGAGTTTTATTCTTAGGTTTCTTGAGCATAAGCATTTTGGAAAAGGGACATAAAATTATACACATTAGCAGAATTGGAGTGTTTCTAAACAAATCATTTTGTAAGACATTGTTATAAACGACTTTGTTTTAAAAGCTAAGTGTTGTTAATAACCAAACAAAAAATTCCAAAATATATAAATGAGATGGACATTTTCTTGGGTTGGATAAAGTGCATGTATAAATGATTGCAATGTCTTGCAATAGTTATATTTGATGTGGTTGTATACACAATTATTATATAACTCAAAACGTTATTGTAGTGAATACTTTGTATTTGAAATAGACCCCCGCCTTCTTTTTTTTTTTAAACAGTTTAATGTTTATTGGACTGCAAATTGAAAAATCTTGGTAAAGAAAAATGTATTCTTTGGCAGAGATTGAACCTGTGACCCCCTTTGTAGGGGGTGCCACCATTTGATCCAGTGTCCTTTACTCCTTTGGACACAAAGAATGTTGTTTTATGTGTGTGCATGCACACTTTACAACCCTGAAATGTTTATCAGTTATATCTATCTTGTTTATTTATCTATGATGTGGAAATTTTTCCCAACTTCTCTTAACATTGAAAACAATTTTTGATTTTTCAAAAGTTTTTCAAATTGAGAAAAATTATTCATATTTCTTTGCTGTGATGTCTGCAATGAGGGAAGTGGCCAGTTCTTAAAAAGCCAAAGCCTTTTTATTCTATTTTATGTACACCTACTGTAATGTTCTTTCAGGTTTTTTTTTCCTTAGATATTTAAGAGGTTTGCAGGTTGGAGTGTTAAAAAAAACTGATATAAAATTGACTGACAATGAGTGCTGATGTCTGTAGTAATTGGCAGCATCTTTGTCTTTCAAACTTTTCAGAAATTGTTACTGGCCTATGGCTTTCATATCAGACGATGTTTATAAAGGTACCGATTGGTATTATAATAGCTGTTCTACTAAAAATGTTCTATATCTCTGAGATGAGGTATTATAATTATTTACATCATTCAGACTGTTATCCTCCTATTCATTGTCATATTCACAACATTTTGGCTGTTGTGCGCTCCAGTCTTCTTCAGGTGATTGGAATTTTGAACCGAAAGTTCAGTTCAAAATTCCACTCAGCTGAAAAAGGCTGGAGCATACTGGAAATATTTGCAATAACCAGAAACAAGTATTAAACACTTTGAATTTTCATATATATATATATATATATATATATATATATATATATATAATGGGAGGAAAATAGTTAGGTACATGACTACTCATGCCAATGTTTTCAGCTATTAAGACTGTTGCTAAAGTGCAAATATTATTTTGGTGTTTTTTGCTAAATATTGTTGACAAAATTTATATCTGCATTAAAGTGTTAAATAATAAAACATTAAAAGTAGTCATGTTTATGTGCTGGTAACATTGCTATTGGGATGCAGTTAAGATTTACACCTAGTCTGTTAATTTTCACATAATTAGCCTCGGTTATGGCATGAATCCATCTCTTTTCTCATCTATGTATTAAATAGTAGAGTAAACTGGGCTCTTTAGCCTTGAGTGGCATCCACTCTAGGAGAAGGTCTAGCAATTCACACATGTGATTTACTCATGATTGTCCATGCCCTAAACATTAAAAATATTAAAAAAATAAATAAATATTTAGTCTTCTTGGAGGAGGGCAGCAAGTTGGAAGAATTACCATTTTTATCTTTGACTTTGTCATAATTGTAAAGCTACAAGAAAAAGAAATTGCAACACCTGATTGTGAACGAAAGTGAAGGTTATAAAAAAAATTTGTACACATCCATACAGGGTGTACTAATAACTTGTAGCTTTTTATTACTCCCTATTTTATTTTATCAGAAGACTGACCACCCTGTCATTTGTGTGTTGTGCACAGTCTTTGATTAATTTGACACAAATTTTTCTTTTTCCAATTACATTGATCATATTTATTGGCATGCGTATTGTAGAATGTCTATTTTGTTTTTTGCCTATAAGCAAGAATAATTTTCAACTATGTTTTAAAATTCATGAATTTACAAAGTTAACACAGGGAATAAAAAGTAATTTGAGATTTCTCACCACTTGCAAATAAGCTATTTAATTATAATACAAGGCATGATTGTACTTGAAATAGGTTTGAAATATTTTCTCACAGAAATTTAATGTTGGTATAGTTAATCTCCTGTTATTAAAAAAGAAAAAGTCTCCTGATCAAGAAGGGAGGTCAGGTGATGTTACTGATAAATACACAAGTATCTTTGTGTCTGATATTATAAAACAGATAATAAAAGTTTAATGAGCTATGATAACGCTGCTCTTAGGATTTCAAAGTCGTTTTTCAAGTTAATATACTAATGAGGAAGAAAGCTTTGTACTGTCAGTGTTGTACATGTAGACATGCCAACCAGATAAAAAAAAAAATTTTTTTTATTTTTATTTTTTTTTATATCTTGTTTAGGCTGCTGGTCGGCACAAATGCTCATATCTCATCCGTCTACAAGCAACAGAGTTCCTGTTGCAAGGTGGAGATGCAGATTGGCTCAAGGGTCTTGAATACATACCACAGAAACTCCGTGATCTCTCTGAAATCAACAAATTACTTGCCCATAGACCTTGGTTGATCAATAAAAATCATATTGAGGTAGGTTTGACTATTTTTTTTTTTTTTTTTTTTTTACACTAATAATCATGTTTTGTCTAAGCAAAGTTAAATAGATTTCAAGATATCTACCAATGAAAAGTAAGATCTGTTAATATCAACAAGTCCTTAAGGAATTTTTATATATATATATGTGTGTGTGTGTAGATTTTTTTTTAACTTAATATGAAAATAACGGAAATAGAAAATTAGCAGACAATTGCTATTACCTCCTGACAAATGAACCAAGCAATTATACAAAATTTTGTCTACAAAACTATGGTGTCAGCGTGCTTAATATAACATCAGTCAGTTAAGTAACAAATTTGATATTTGTTTGTGTGTGTGTGTGTATATATATATATATATAACAAATAGGGAACATATCTCGCATGAATCACTTTTATTAAAGCTTTGTCAGAAATTGAGTGAAAAGACAATTTTGATATTTTCAATTTTGTTTGGGTCAATTCTCATTGAGCAGTCACATATTACGTGCATTAAAACCATAGATATTAGTCCTGTTCAAGGCCTTATAGTGTGTTTTGAACAAAAAGCAAAAGATAAATAACAAAAAAATCTTTATTTTTGAAATAATACTTAACATTTTGTCAATATTTTTTTTTTTATGAGCACTTGTTCATATGGACATTGATGCTCAAACTGAGTTTTGTTGTCTATATCATCCATTAGTGCAGAGGCAAAATCTAAAAAAATTTTTTTTTTTTTTTTTAGTTCAAAAGTTAAGCCTGATGCTATGTTCATATAACAATTTGTTTAAATGACTATTTTGAAGTATCCTTATTAATTTCACTCAGTTGTTTTCTGTTGCCATAGCAGGATATGACAACACAACTATGAAATTCGGAGATCAGTTAACTGCAGTGGCTAGATAAACTTTTTGTACAGCAAATGAAGTCACATATAGTGAACAAAGGTTAAAGTAAAACTAAAGTCAATAATGGTATGAATGAGACTTGGTTATGTGAAGGTATCAGACATTCTTTTGTTCTTTAAACTTCAGTTCTTGAAGATTCAATGTTCTATAATAGACAATTATAACAAAACTTTGAAATTCCTACTTTTTCTTTTTCTAATCAAAAGCATAATGTTTCAGCAATCCTACTGTCTGACCTTCCATAGGCGTCTAATTGTATTCATTAACTGAGAAAGTTAAATAGAAACTTCTATTATAGTGTTCCCCCAAACATTTTTTTGGACTGCAACCCCTACCTCTTTTGGCCCAATTATTCTGATGCTGAGAACTTTAAAGGAAAATTGATTGGATCAAATAATCAATAAACCTCTATAATTGATTATGTTAATCAAATAAGCTACAACTTCAGGTAAATGTATAACCAGCAGTAAGTGGTAAAGAAAATAGAATGTTAGTTCCTCTCAGAATATCAACATATAAAATGAAAATATTTTGATGGAAATCAACTTTCACTAGTATTAGAATATTTGGGAAGCACAATTTAGTTTGCACCCCCCCCCCACACACACACTTTCTCTAAAAATTAGAAATACTATAATAGAAAAGAAAGGTGGGAGGAACTGCTTACACCATTTTTCTCATTTTTTTTTTTTCTTGTCTTTACAGAAGCTTACCAAAGGCTCCAACAATTGGTCAGTGTCTGAAGTGACCCAGGCACTGATAATCCTCTCTCACTTCCACACTTTATCAGGGTTTATTTTTGGTTGTGGGATCAGTTCAGAGATTGATGATGACTTAGGCCACACTTATCACCAGAGTTATGACGATTCTTATGAGAATGGTTGCCATAGTGATGACGATGAACAGGTAAGTAAAAAGATTTCTTGTGCCTTCTTAAAATCAGTTTAGTATGACTTTAGCAGTATCAGTATAGATAATAAAACTTGAAAAGTCAACTCAATAAAATAATAAGTGTTTATATATATATATATATATATATATACACACACAAATATGAAATGGAAAAAGCCTTGAGTTGAGTATTTTGTTTGCTTGAAGCTTTTATTAAAAAACATCTTTTCTTTCCTTTGTAGTCCTTTGATTGTACAGATGGAGGTATTGAGGCTCTTCTGGAACGTATGAAACAGTTAACAGAGACGCGAGAAGAGACAACACATGAAGAAATGCTGAAAGGTTTTGACAAAGTTGAATCACCTAATCTTGATTGTAAGTTATCACTTTGAATGACCCTACTTTTTTTTTTCTCGACTTTTGTCATTGAGAATCTCTCCTCTATACAACTGTTATTTAGTAATTATTAAAATGTCAAATATTAAGTGTTATAATTCTATTAAAGCTCTGAACGTTATGGGTTGAAATGAAGACAGATTTTCACTCTCACTATTAAAAGCATACATAGGAATTTGAGAAATATCAACATATTTAGGATGTTGGTTATTCTGCATGAGGAAAAGTGTTGATAAATTTAATATTGTATATTAATGAATGGATAATGGGAATGAGAGCTTGAAAAGATGGGAATTCATTTTTTTTTCTTGCAATTTCTTTATATCAAATCTTCAGTTGATTAAAAGGTGGAAAGAATTTCTTAAAATAAAAAAAAAATTATTTTAATGCAAACAGTCACTGATTCAATGTGGTCAAGTGAACCACTCCTAGGTAAAATGGTTGCTCAAAGTTCTTTTGCCTGTCAAGGTTTGCTTCCTCCTATATTAAATGTATAAATTCAAGAAGTATGTCAAGGCCACAGGGGAAACAAATGTGACCCTTGCAATTGATCTGTGTACACTTGGTGAGTAAGTGTTTGTTGTAATGTGGCCAAACATGGCAAAGAGGGTGGGGGGGAGGCTCTAAAAACTTGTTCCAGCTTTGCTAGCGAATGGATGGGAAGGTTTCAGTAGTCAGGAAGTGTTACTAAATTATTTGCAATAATTCTTTACCTACATACTACATCCAGCTTTGTAGTAAAAGCAGGTTTTGATGAAGGCCAGGTTCGTGCTGATCTGTTAGAGGATTTTTATTTTTGCAGTCAATTGTGAAAATAGGTGAGCTTAAGTAGTTGAGCTTGCTCAGAACTAATGCTACCAACAAGGTAGATTATAATCCTGCAAAATATTTCTCCCCTTAATCCTACTTAGTCTATTTTGGTTAATCTTCCTCTACTCCATTTTTACCTTGTAACTCTATACCATACCCTGTTGTATCACTTGATCTTCCTATGTTTTTTTTTTTTCTCTTTCTCTCAGGGAGTTTTTCTTTGGATTCGTACAGTTATTTTCCTATGTTATGCATACAAAAATTGAACTTCTTTGAATTTAGGGCTTAAAACAAATGTGAAAGTGAAAATTGTATTTACTAATTTGCAAGCTTATTAAAAAAAAAAAAATAAATAAAAAAAATTAGCACTCACTCTGCTTAAAATGACTAATTTATTACCTCTATTCTTCAGACAATATGATTTTGCAAGATTAAATTGCTTGCAAATTAGTAAATACAATTTTCACTTGCTGTGTCCACATTTATTATTTGTTTTTAAAGCCAAAATTCCAAATTTTTGTATGCACACATACGATTGTAAGTAGAGTGAATTTGTATTGGGTCATATTGACTTAAAATTTATTATTTTTGACTTAAAACCTGAAGAAATGTTCAAGTTATTTTTAACAATGCAGATCTCAATATGAATCTGTGATGTTAGTTCAATCTCAGAAGCCATTGGAAATCAAGTTGTTATATGATGGTAAATTGATTTCTTTTTCAAATCATACTAAATATAACTTCATTCTCATTTGATTGGCTGATGAGATATGGTTTGGAAAAATCACACACTTTTATAAAATGATAAATTTCTGGGACCTCTACTTGACAGATGTTAACACTATAGTATAACACAGTGCTATGCCAATTGTGGGCACATCTAGGTACTCACAGATTTAAGTGTATGTAGGTGTATTTTTGGACACTTCAGACATTAGTTCAGTGATATCAGAAAAGTGGGGTGGGAAAATTAATGAAGGTTAAAATAGGTTGGACATTCTCAAATTGACACAAAACTGATCTTCAGTTGTTGATTTAAAGCAAGTGTATGGCTTGTTTTTTGTTTGTAAATGAATTCATTTTTGTTCAACTCTTTGTATAAATGATTTCCACTGCTACCAAACCACAAAAAATTTCTTGTAAGATGTAAACATTGAAATTTTTGATTTTTCTCTCTACAGTGAGTTCATCAAATGAAGTTTTAAATGCCACCAAAGCTGATATCCTTAGATATGTTGATGAACCCGATTTCACATACCAAGACTTTGCAAAACGGCTAAACTGTCAAGAAATTGCTACATTCCGAGCACAAGATTACTCTTGGGAAGATCATGGTTTCTCCCTTGCTAATCGGCTCTATCCGGAAATAGGAAGCTTACTTGATGAGAAGTTCAGAGTGGCATACAACATGACATATAACACGTAAGTAATCTTTTATTTTAACTGAACCTTTTTTTTTTTTAATCTCCATATTATTAGAGTGACCACTAAATAAATAAATAAAATTTTTTTTTTTTTTTTAACTACAGATACTAATCCTGATTTATGTTCAAGTGTGCTTTTATTGCAAAGTCAAATGATTAAATTACAGAGTTTTTTTTGCTGCAGGGTGAAACAAGTTAGAGACCCCCCCAAAAAAAAATAATCAGAACTTTATTTTATTGCTATGGCTTTCTGTAACCCTATGTGTCATGAATTGAACTTGTTAATTTTAAATTTGAGAAAAGTCACCCCCCCACACACACACACACACACACAAAATTTCAGTTTTCAAATTACTATCCAATTACATCATTAGCAAATTCCATTTAACAGTTTATACTTATACAAGTATAGTAATACTACTTGTTTGTTATGCTATTGTTATGCTATAAGATTTTAGAAACATTGAATTATGAAACAGGAAATGAATTATTTTAAAAAAAAAAAAAAAAAAACCAAAGCACCTAACACACACACACACACACTTTGAGTTTGTATTATTCCGATGTCTTCTTTCATTCTTCTCCCTCTCAAATTAACATTTATCCGACTTGCAAAACAAATTTTAGGGAATTTAAATCTGTTGAATTAAAATACACCTGCACATGTAACTTTACAGAAATTAAAATGAACATCTGCATTGATTTCCTTTCCCCCTAGTAACTGCAAAATTATTTTCTAATAATAAAAAAAAAGCTCTATTCTTGGACATATTTTCATCAACAACATTACCAGTGTCATCCGTTCCCAAATCTCTGTTTGTGAATTTAATCCTGTCTGATTAGTTGGATAAAATGAAATTGGCAGCTGACCCCCAAAAATTACCTTCAGTCTGTTAAAATGAACAAGCAAAGCCATTCCTTGTCCAAAATGAAATTGCTTCAATCATCTTAGGGAAACCTTTTTGCTGTCCATCAGCATGTCTGATGTTAATCTCCAGGAGAGCAAATCCCTCACCGTCTTGATCTTGTGTTCTCAACTAACATGAATTGAAATAATTATATTGAATCAGTTGCTGAATCTGCAGCCAGGAAAGTATGTCATTCTGGACAATTTTTCTTGCCTGCCAGAATCTTAAGTCATTCACAAGTCTACTATTTTTCTATGCATTGATTATTGCTGCATATCTTGACTTCTGCTACATATTTAGAGATACTTGAGAAGCTTCAGTCACTTTCCTCACCTCTGTAATATTAGTGATACTTGAGAAGCTTCAGTCACTTTCCTCACCTCTGTAATATTAGTCTCCCTGTGCCTTTTCTATAAACATTTTCATATTAATTGTTCTGATAATTTCAGCTTTGGTACTTTGACTTCATGATTTTAGGCATAATACTAGATTGTTCTTTTCACTGTTGAAAATGCTAGCTGGAGCCTAAAAATTCTATGCTAATAGTTTCCTCTTAGTCTACAGCCATTTCTTGTCTAAACACCAGTTCTTATATGATAAGTGAATCAACATTAAACCTGGTCAGTACCTAGGTAGGTGACCACCTGGGAATACTAGGTGCTGTAAGTGTGGCTGTGATGTGCAGGATTGAAGTTCCAATTTCATTTCTGTTTATTATATTCACTTATGTGCAAATATCCTTGGGGATGAAATGTATGAGTTTACCTCTTTATCCCCCCCACCAATATGGGTTAATTAACAAGACTTGTATCAGTAAGTCATTAGTACAATTGTCATCTTCCTTCTGTCTCCTTAAGTCCAGTTCTTTTATTTCCCTTTTTGTTTCTTTTACACTCAGTAACCCCTTGCATCCAAGTGGCTTTTTAACAAAACTAAAAAGTATTTTAAAATAGAAACATGATTTTTATCAAGTAAATATAATAAAGGAACTGGATTGCAGGTTGACTATATGAATAAAGGTTAATTGTAATTATCTTAGGAAATTGAGTGATTTTAGTCACAGATTACTCTACAAAAGTATTATTTTAGTTTTATTATACAACACTGACATGTAGAATAGACTGAACAGTGGCTTCTAACAAAAAATGAAATTTTATCCCACCTGTTAGGAGACCATAGTCGTATTCTTTAAACACTGAAGAAAGAATTGATGTTTTCATAATGTAACCTGACTCCCCCCACACGCACCATTACGTAATTATAATGAGAGAAAAAAAAAAACATTTAAAGTCTGACATGATGGGTAGGGGGGAATGAAACATTAAATTTTGTGAGAAAGATTTAACTTTTTCAGCATTCTGAAATGGTACTTTAAGAAAATAGTAACTTAGTGAATTTAGTAAGTTAGTGAATTTTTTTTTTTTTTTTTTTGAAAGTCTATTTTTTTTTGTTAATTAGCTGCCTTAATGATTTAATTTTTTTGTGGGGTGGGAGACAGGGATTTCAGTTAAAAAATTAAGTTTGTTGAAATTAAGGTCAAGGTGTAGCAATAGAAAAGAGTTCTTTATTCCAATGTATTTAATGCCTAACTTTTATCCTGGTCTGGGCTTTGAATAAGCATATTGATTACCATCCTAAAATTTCAGAATGTGGAATTCATAAATTCTAAACCAGTTAATAACAAAAATGCTACAAAAGTAAAATATTGACCCTCAAAACTCTACTCATGTTCTGAAATAGTCTAGATCAGACGAAGATATAACATTTTTCTTGGATCAAGTAACAAGTCATTACGAATTGCTTTTAAGATCTGGACAATTAAGTAACACTCACACCAGTCAATAAGATCTGATGAGTAACAGAAACCACATGTTACATATAATGATGATGTTGACTTTCTACACTACCTTAAATATAGAAAAGTGATTAAAAGAGATAATAGTAAATACTTGAACATTTTCATAACAAAACCTAAGAAATACTTCATGAATTTCAGTTAATAAATATTTTATTGAACCAATAGTTACTACTAGCTGAATATTTCCTGTTTAATCATTAGCATTTATCAAAGTAGGATTTTTTTCTTTTTCCTGCATACAGCACGTTTTCTAATTGTTTCAGTTTAAAGTCTAAGGAATATAAAATCCCTTTCAGCTGAAATTTTTAAGATGCTTTTCATGTGGAATTTTTTTTTTTTTTCAGAATGGGGGATACAAGAGATGTTGACACAACAGCATTTCGACGAGCCATCTGGAATTACATTCACTGTATGTATGGTATCCGCCATGATGACTACAATTATGCTGAAGTCAATCAGCTTCTTGAGAGAAATCTGAAGGCCTATGTTAAAACAGTCACATGCTATCCTGAGCAGGTATCACGTAAAGACTATGACAGCGTGATGAGAGAATTTAAACATTCAGAAAAGGTAAACTTATCTCCTCAGTATCTGTGTTTCTGAAACGGGTTATTGTAATTATTTATATTGTTTTGATTGTTGTCTGAATAGTGTAATTGTCTCTGCTTTTTATATTTTGTTCTTAACATAAAATAGAACTCATTAATTAGTAAAATCATATAAGCTAAACCTATGCCAAATTTTACCTTTTTAAGAAAACATTTCTGATAATTTCTATAACTTAATAGGAAAATGTTTTGATAAAACTGATTTTTTTTTTTCCTCTCTCTTCTTCCAGGTCCATGTAAATTTAATGATGTTAGAGGCTCGTCTCCAAGCTGAACTGCTGTATTCTTTAAGGGCTGTCATGAGGTACATGACCTGAAATGACTGCTGCAGGATGATTGGTTGCTTGTGATGGGTGTGCCCATCTCTGTTGACTCCTTCCCCCACTCCCCTCCCTGACTGGGACGGTGGGCAGTAAATGGCCACCAGCAATTAGGAATCAAGGAGTTGATGAATGTGTGCATGCATATATATATATATATATATATATGCATATTTTTTTTTTTTTAATATTACAGAAAAGATTTAAAAAACACAAAAACAAACCCTTTTTCTGAGAAATAAGGGGAAAAAAAACTAAAAAAAAATTGAATAATAATCCAATGTGGTGATAGTATTCCACAGATCCACATTTATTTACAGGTATTTTTCCCATATGCACTTGTACTGATGTGCATGATTGGAGCTAGGGACATCATCATACATATATATCTGACAGACAGCTTGAAATAGCCGGACATGTTTGGTGGCAGCTCTTATGTTATCTAGTAAGAGCTTTTTTTTTTGTCCTCCTCACCTTTGACATTTGGTTCTGCCACTAACCTCCCCACCCTACTTTTTTTTTTTTTTTTTTTTCTCTTTCTCCTCTCTGGACTTTGATGTCTATGAAATTTTGTCCTTGAAAAGGAAAAAAAAAAAAGCTGTGATATATACATTGTACTTCCCCCTTTTGATGTGGAGAACTTTATATGGGCTGATTACTATAGAAATCTGAACTTTATATTATAGAAAAAAATAAATAAATAAAGAGATGTAAACTTTATATTATAGAGAAAAAGAAAAAAAAAATGTAAATTTTAACTTTTTTAATCCCCCTCTTACTTCCCCACAAATTTTTGTGGGGGCCAGGGTAAAGGATTGTTTTTGTTTTTTTTTCTTTCTTTGTCTTTTATTCATGCCCATTTATCACTTATTCCCCCTCTTTTGTATGAGAAAAGATTATATATATATATATAAAAAAATCACACTGCTTTCTTTCTCTCAAGTTATGGTTAAGAAAAAAAAAAAAAAAAGCAAAGTATTTACTAAGGAATAAGAAAATAACCTGTCCAACATTTATTCTTAATGCACACATATATATATATATATATATATATATATATATATATATATATATATATATATATATATAAAATCTGGTTAAGTTTAATTTGTTCTGTTTGTCTCCATCTTCAAATTACTTCTATATAAATTTTTTTTTAAGTCAGGATGACAAAGATTTTATTCCCTATTAAGAATGAACAAAGTTTAAAAAAAAAAAAAAAAAAAAAAAAAAAATCTTGTATTATAAAACAATTTAACTTTACATAACTCCTTACATGTTAGTCGACAGTATTTTTTTTTTTTTTTAGTTTATTTACAGAAAAAAAAAAAAGTTCAAATATTGGTTATTTTTTCTTTTTTAAAAAAAAGAAAATTATTTTAGATCAAGTTGACAGAAGCAACACTAAATGTTAGCATCCAATTTATAAAATTCCTTGTTTTTAATATTTTTTTTCCTACCCCCATTTAAAAATAACAAAATATAGTACACTTTCTGTAGATATTAGTAAGTAATAACTTTTCCAAAATAAAAACAAACATTTGATTATCAAAGAGAAGTTGATCTACAGTTCTAAACAAAAAACACTAACACAAAGAGAGAAAAATCTTGAATTGTATTATAAAACAAAATGAGAGAATGGAGGAAGCAGACAATAAATCCCTCATTTGTCTTTCAAATTACTATATACCTACCCCACCCATTTTATTCAATTATATCTGAGTAGAGGGTTACATCTGGTTCTTGTGAAAGTATGAAGATTTATGAATAAAACAAACAAACATGGAATTGGGAGTATAAGGGAAAAATATCCCAGAAAAATAGATTTTTTTTTTGTGTGTGTGTCTCTCTCTATCTATCCTTATCTTCCAAAAAATTAATAAGAATATCTAAGTGATAAACTAACACCTTAGTCTGTGATGACAACATTGTGATGGTGACACTTGAGCTGCATGCCTCATGTCAGCACCGGTGGTTTTGATCAGGGTCATTATTTCATGACTCAGCACCTCTTCCCCCTCAACTTTTTTCCTCTCTCTCTCCAATATAAAAGTCTTCCCCCACCACCCCATGTAAATTAATTATTTCCAGTTAAGATTACTTAGGCTATATAGTAAGAATTATTACATTTCTCCTAGAAAAAATAAAAATAAAAAATTGAATGAGAAAATAAATTTGATTTTCTTTCCCCACCCCACCCACAATCATTCAGCACAATTATTTGGTCTTAGGTTGACCCTGTCATCCTAGTAGGCTGTAACTAAATAATTACATCTGATTGCTTTACCAAGCCTTATATTCTGACTACACACCTTAAAATTTCAGTGACCAAAGGAAATCTTCAAAAATTTTATTGGTCACTTTTTTTATTTTAAAATGTATGTAGAATATGAGACAAGATAAAGTAATTTAAGTGTGGTAACTTATGTCTAGAACATTTCAGATATATCTCAATTTAAACTTAGTTACTATCCCCCATCTACTTGACTCAGCCTGCCATAAGTGTTCTCTCTCTCTCTCTCAGGGAGTGATCCTAGGAAGTAGTATGATATAGTGTAGTTTGTGGCACCCACTAGTTACTTATATTTTTTTTCTCTCTTTGACAAACTTGTATTGGTGCACTGGAATCTGTTGAGGAAACAGTTGAGAAAAAAAAAAACCTTTGCTTCTGCCACATACCCACCCCCAAACTTTATTGATGTTTTACGTAATGGTTTCAAGGTGTTTCTATTTATTTACTTTCTTATAAGTGGATTTTTTTTTTTTTAACATTTTCTTCTTGCAATTAAGTTCCACCATATATTTTGAGATATAAATTAGCATGTACACACACACACTTGTGTGAACATATTTAAATATGAAATAAATGTAGCTTTTTTTTTTATGATTGGTGCATAGAAATTGTGAAATATTCTGTAGGATACATATTTTAAAAAGTGAAATTTTACTTAGATGATATTTAGTAATATTCTTACAAGAAATATTAAAAATGGGCATGTGATATTTCTTCATGAATGTTTTTTTTTTTTTTTTTTGGCTCAAGGACTTATTACTTGTTAATGGTAGATCAACTTGACTTAGTGACCTGACCATTGTCTGTCTCTTATATATCCAATATTTGTTCTTGAGTGTGCCTAAAGCTCCCCCTCTCTCTATCTACCTATCTATCAAATGCTCTTTCATCTCTCTTGCTCTGGCTTCCCATGAAATCTTGACAGACACCCTACTTAGTCTAAATTGGAAATGAGACTGTGTCTGCGTCAGGTGTATTTTTTATTTATTTATTTATTTATTTTTTTCCAAACCACAGAATTACCACGTACCACTTTGTTTATTGGCCTTTCTTGTCCATGCAAAATTAAGAACTTTTTTTAAAGAAGCACTCCCCTAACTGAATATGAGCGTGATTTTTCTTTCTTTGAATCTCGCTCAACCCTTCACCATACCTATTTATCATAATTAAAAAGAAAATAAACTTATATATATATCATTTAAAGAAACTTTGCATGCTGGTTGTGATTCCAAATTAGGATAATTAAAAAAATTATTTGATAGATGAAAAGGAGAGGAAAAAAAAAATCTGTCCACTCTGACTTGAGGGAAGGGTGGTGGGGTGACAAAAAAAAAAAAAATGTCTTCTTTCTTCACCCTCAACTTAAAACAATAAAATGCTTCTTTTTGCATAGTTCTTACTGTTGGGACACTTGTCAGTATTTAATTACCCCTTCCCTAAATATAAGAAATTCTAAGGGTGGGTGATATAGAAATTGCCTGATTCTCTCAGCTAATGTTGAAGATAGGTATGCCTTTTACCTCTCACCTTTCTTAGTGCAGTTAGTATAGCTATACTGCACCAGGCCCTAGCTTATTTTATTTAACTCCATGTGGGAGGGGAGAGAATCCTCCCCTACACACCCCCAAATAAAACTGATACCTGTACTCATTGATTAACAACCAAAAATTGTCTGACTACAACCGCTGTAGACAAAATTTTGTTGTACAGACTCTTAATTAAATGCATTCAGTTTTGTATGTCTCTCTCTCCCTCCTCTATAAAAAAAAAACAAAAAAAAACGGAATGCAAATAATTGTCTAACTCAACCCCCACCCTTCTCAGTCTTCTCAACTGTTTCAACAGTCTAAGGTGTTACTAGCACAAAACAAATGAGTGATAGAAATCAATTGTATAAGAGCCATTTTGTGAAAGAAAGTGTCGGGGGGGGTATAAGGTGATGATGAGTTGGGAAACAAAAATTGGAGAATGTACAATTTTTATATTTTTGAACTTTGTGATCTCAAAATACTTTTATTATGTCAAAAGAAAAATAAGAAAATAAAAAAATTGCATAAACTATTTTATTTTCTTTTGTTTTTTTTATATATTGTTGAATAAAAACAAATAAAGGATACTAAAAATTTGTATTAATTTTAGAAGAACTCAAATGTTGCCCATGATGGTAAAATGTTCAATGGTTATTATATCTCTCCATTATAGCTCTTGAAAAACCAAATGATATCAGAATTCTTTCATTATTTCAGTTCACTTTTGTGTTTGTTCTTAGCATATGCAACATGATCAACATCAATTACCCATATTGTCTTGCATATAGGTTTGTGTCTTACTGGCAGCTATCTAGATTTTAGATTTCAATGAATGGTATTTATTTTTTTTACTAACAGACCTATTCTTTTTGTTTACTAAAACAAAACCAATCAGAATAATAAAATTATGGAATAGCTGTACAAATAGTGTTGCTATAAATTATATTTTATTTCTGCCATTGCATAGAGCCTCTCCGTTTAAAGGGTTAGTATGCCTGAAGAGAAAACGGCTAAATTGCCCCAAGACTCATAACATTTTATTATAAAAAAAAAAACTATTCAACATTGTTTCAGCCAAGCCCCAAAGAGAATCAATCTGATTTCTAAATAAAATCAGAAACGAGAGACATGGCAAATTTCAGGTGGGCCACAGATATTTTATAATTGGATATATT